ACTAGGTATGTAATAACTTTCTGGGGTAACATTTGTGTAGTACTTTCAGCCTAGGGGTTTTAATGTGTAGTGTTCATGTACTCTTGTGATCTTTCCGTAAGAGTCAGCCTTTTTCCATACGAGTTGATTGTACTGTATCGCTACTGTTATATGTACTCATAGAACTGTTACAACCTGCTTTCCCTTAGCTTGTGTCTGACTTGTGTTAGGTTCGGAATTGAGTGAATAAACCTTCCGGTGGTACATCGAATCCCGTGGCTTAATGTGTTGGTCCTTAGTCTAGTTTAGCGTTAAAAGTGAGTCCGGCTAACGTGTCGGATTTAGGATTGACGGTAAATCCGCCCTAGACCTACGTGACATCTGGGAAGCAGTACACAAGACTGTTACACATGTTCACTTTCGCCGTGGCTATATACACACCCAGTGTGTATATAAAAGACAAAAAGGTTTTATATACACACCGAAATACTAGCCTCCTTGGTAGGCCCAAAACCTGGGTTTTGGTGAGTGTTTGAGGATTCAGGGGCATCAAGTTTAAACCTCGGTCTTCAAGTTTATCTTAGTGGATGGTGAAAATCAGAAAACAACACGGAAATCCCCACCGAAGTTCGAAACACAGGGTTTTGACCTACGACCAATCAGCGCCAAAGCCATTTACGTTACGGCCAACATGGCTGCCGACTGCCGCGCGCCGTCCCGATTGAAGTTTAGGGGACGAAAATTCTAACTCTGGCTGCACTGGACAACTTTCAGAAAACGACCCACGTTGAGCTGACTAAGACCACAAGCAAAAAGGTGGAAACTGGGAACCGAAAGTTTACCCGAATGCGTTGAAAATAGCGTGAGTGCCGGTCTCCGTGCCGTCCGGAGCTGGCGCGCCCCCCTCCCCTCCTCTGCTCCGAACGTCAGTCAGATCGTAGCGTCCCGCAAGTTGGGACGACTTTCTATTAAATAAACCGCTCTTCCTCGGCTTATACCGGCGGTGGTCAAAGGGGAAAAGCCCAGAGACACCTGCCTGCAAACCTACATAATTTTGAGCAAAGTAATCGGGGAAAATACGCAGTAATAATACACCCTAACTTGAAAATGTGTGTCGGCGCTGTTGTTCCACGCCATGCTCTGAGTTTAAAACACACAAATTTACCCTGGATGCCAAACTCGTTCTTCGGGCGGCAAGAGCCTTTCGCCCGCCGGTCTAGATTACTGCTACGGGGGAGTCTAGCCCGGGGGGAGTTTGGCCGCCCTCCAAACGGCCGTCTGAACAATATGTCCTAGCATCCCCGAAAATAGTATGGTCCTGCATTGCATTAACATAATCTATGCCAGGATGTAATAATCACTATTTAATACTCTTAATTAATAAACGTGTGGTTCATTGCATGCAAAACAAACTAATTTTTCTTAAGGAGTTACGTATATTATGTTTTTTAAAATAGCTTCAAAGTGAATTTAGTTGCCTAGAATGGTAAACAGAAATATGCCGCCCATAATAAAAATGGGAGTATCCACATGAAAACAAAGTGAATGTCGCTTCGCCAGCCACTGAAGAACTTCGCGAAGTACACACAGAAAAAAACAAGTACCCATAGAAAATGAAGGTACCCATAGGAAATGGAAGTACACACAGAAAAAAACAAGTACCCATAGAAACTAAAAGTGTCCATAGAAAATGAAAGTACCCATAGAAAATAAAAGTGTCCACAGAAAATAAAAGTACCCATAGAAAATAAAAGTAACCCATAGAAAATAAAAGTAACCCATAGAAAATAAAAGTAACCCATAGAAAATACAAAGTACCCATAGAAAATAAAAGTACACACAGAAAAAAACAAGTACCCATAGAAAATAAAAGTAACCCATAGAAAATACAAAGTACCCATAGAAAATACAAAGTACCCATAGAAAATAAAAGTGGAATAAAAAATACTAAGTGTACTTATGGGCCTTCGTAGGAGAGGGCCAGGTACATCTTCTCTCATTCCGGCATGGTAATAATAGCACCATGATTCCGGCTCTCATTCTCGGCCTCATAAAAACTCCGGTTCGAGACACCGGACACCTTGACCCCCTGACCCGACCCGGAAGTTAAAATGCTCCTCCCGACATGCATCTGTGTTTACCGTCGCCAAGCAATGGGAGGTCCTCTACGGTCAGCGGATCAGCAGTCTGTCTCAAGCCTCAAAACACACGTTCTCTGATATTACTGTGTGAACAAATCAGACATGTCGTCCCTAAAGGGAATAGATCCTCAGCTGAAGCGTTACCTGCGGCGGCACCATGTACCTGATGTGTTCGAGGTGTGTAAAACGTCAGAATCTTTGTTTATGACAGTTTGTTTACGAACAAAATTTGTTTTGATTCACACTAATAATAACCAGGGGTCGAAGTAGATTACAATCACATCACAATGTAGGAGGAGCACAAATAATGTGCCATAACGCTATATTAGTGTACTTCATAGGCCATGTTGATTTGATATGGATGACATCCGCGCGCATATGAAATTTTCGGCTGTTTCAAAAAAAAAAAAAAAAGTAAAACAGTCGTACAAGACAGTTGCAAAATGAGCAAATATAACGTTATAAGTAGTAAAGTTGCAAAAATAAATAGTAGATAGTAGATTCTTTCAGCCAGGTAGGTATCCATCCAGTTGGAAATATTAGAAAACGATACCAAATTATGCAGTTGTAGAATGCCAAAATCAAACGAAAAAGACATTGAGAATGTAAAGAAATGGAATTGAAGAGTAGATTTTCACCATGCCATACTCTGTGTCATTTTTAATGTTCAACCTTCATGACCATGTAGATTTCATTCTGAAAGCAACAAATTTGGGGGGCCAAACTTTTATTATTCGCACGCTTGCATCAGTTTTGGGATTCCCAGAGGATGTCATCCATATGATCAAATAAACATGACCTTAGTTAGTATCTGCATCAGATTCTGCTCTCAGTACTCAGT